GTCTGATTAGTGTACCAATTTTTCTGGGAACTACAGTGCAATGTTAAGCAGACAAATGCCATTGTTTTATATGATTTCCCTAATGATGCTGTCGTTCAACCATTAATTTTTATAAGAAACATGTTTGCCAAAATGTTATAAAAATTAATTATTAAAATATATTTATTAATAAAGTATAGAAAGGCATAGTAGGACAACTACATATTTTGAATAAAATGTAAAGTAATTCAAAATTTTAACTTATTCATAATCTCAGTAAATATGCTCTAAATGTAACTACTAGTCATTCATTATTGTCCTGACATTTTATTTTTGTCACTTGTTGTTAGTTGTATCATTTGCTAATTATACCAAATAAATAGCTATTTAGAATTGTTTTTATATTGTCTGTAGTAAATCTTATCAGTTTCAACTTTTACCGAATTAGAATTAAAACATAATATCTCGTATCAATTGAAGATGAAATAATTAAACAATATATAAGAGTTTAGAATATTTTTGTTAATAAGATTAACTTTTTAATATGAAATCATAAATCTTAATATGATATGAGAGTTCATTAACTTCAAAAGGAACAATTAGTCCGTCTAAAGCTCAAACGAGCATTTAGATTTTAAGACTTTGCCCCAATTTGATAGTCATTATTTAGAATAGTGATTTTTTGAAGAATGTGAGTTTAAAAAATGGAAAAATATTTGGATTATGTGCAAAATATTTTGTTGTGTGAATGTAATTGAAAATGAGCATGATAAATAATTTTTTTTTTATTTTTTTAAAGGGAGTCAAATAGGAGATTATTTGCTGTGAACTGATGACAATAATGTGCCATATTAGTATTTACATTTGACATGTTAGCGAACCTGTCGAATTTTCTAACTGTGAGTTATTGAGTGATGAATGAAATAATCGATGAGGATTTGAAAAGTTTGGTGACCACCTTAAAAACTTTTAATGTTAATGGTTCATGAGAATTTGAGATAATATTTTATAAGTTAAATGATTATATAAAAAACATTTAAAGTTCAATGGCAATGAAATAACGGTTTGATAGGTTCGATGACCATTTGAAAAACCTTTAAAAATGGTCAATGAAAAATATTGTATAAAATTCAATGATCACTTAGATTTTTTAACCTAACTTTTTCACGAACAAAATGTAAGTTGATGGTGACATACTTCAAGCCGTAGTGAAAAAACGAGATTGGCAGGTAAATATTTGCACCAAGAATACCATAGTAAAGCAAGGGTTGTGATGGAATACAAATGCCCAATTCTTGAAGAAGAGATTGAATCCATACAATTTCAGTATTAGTATTGGAAACAACCTTATATTCTGCTTCGGTTGGAGAGTAGACGACGGATAGTTACTTTTTCAAGTTCCATGAAACCAAATTGTGAGCAAAGAATGCATTGGTGGCGAGCAATCACTGAGCCCCCATCTGACAATCGTTATTTCATAACTCTTTAATTCTCATATTTATTTTTAACCATACAATTATACAATAAAATACAATAAAATTATACAATGGAGAACATGTGTAGCAAAAGAGGAGATATGGAGCGACGGAAAGAAGCCAGAGTCGAGAGTTTCCTTTAAATAACGGAGAAGACTCTTGAAAAGAGTCAAGTTGAAGTGGGTCGACACATAAAATGAGATTATTTTCTGAGATATTTATGGCTAGTGAGACAGAAGTATCGATAAACACCCATGATTTGATGGCGTTGAAATGCATCAACTACGATCTTAAACTTGAAAATAGTGAATTCACAGTTGAACTCAAGCTGGAAAATAAATCTAATGTGTATATATTATTCTTTATGTGTATAAATTAAATTAAAATTTATTTACCGGTTTATAATTCCGCCAACATACATGTTACTTTTATTTATTTTATTGGAAGTAAGTTGCAAAAATAATTCAACTTTCAAAATATGTAATTTGAAATGCATATTTTCGAGACAGTGGATTGCGTAAAGGACCCACCATTTCGGTGATACAAATATGAAATATTTTCCAACATTCTCAATGTAAGTCAGCAAAATTTAAATTTCTTCTAAACCTCGAAAACCATTATAATTAAATTTTAAAACCCAAGAAAAAAGATAGTATTAGTATTAAATTAATTGGTAATCCCATGTGGTGGTTGTATTTCTCAAGTCACGTCACATAGATTTTGTTACCACTGAGAAATACTGAAAAAAGTTGGACACGAAAAAGGTATGTTTTTTGAATTAAAGTAGGTTGTACTTTTACATACAAGTAACAAGAAAGGTACAACTCACCTGGGCCTCAGTTCTGATCTTCTCTTTTAACGCGTGCATGCATTTCACTATAATGGACTCTCCACTTCGTTACTTTGACACTGTCAATTGTCTTTATTGCACAGTCAAAACATATAATTTAAAACTTCCGAATTCATTTTGTTTAATTTCACTGAATGAGATGAATAATAATGAGATACTATTAATTTAAATCTTTTCAGTTGCTTTTTACGGTGCTTTTCAGGCTTTAAATACTTAGCCCCTGTTTGATCCTCATTAAATTAAATTACATTACATTTCATTTTTCTCTCTTCTATTTTCAACCACACAATCTTCCATAAAATAATATTACACATAAATCGAAAACTTTTACTTCTTTTTCAACCACTTATTTTTCTAAAAAATATTATTCCCCCCATTTTCATTTTCAAGTAATGAGCATCAAACAGAGGCTTGTGTCTTTTGCCGTATGGCCCTCCTTTATTTGTGGGGTTCGCTACATCCTCCTTGTTTCTTTAACATACCTAAGCAAATATGGATTCTGGCATTGTCTGGTACAAATTTCATTGTTTGAATTAAATAGGGGATTTTACTGTCCTTATGTTCAATTAAAAAAAGAAAAAAACAGTTTAGGGCTGAGCATGGATGGGTGGAATGTGGAGGCCGTGGATGCATAATTTTTCTCTTCGTTAGATTTTTTTTTTCGAAATTAATTATTTTTTGTCTTACTATTTAATGAGTTAAAAATGCGAGAATCACATTTTTTTCTTTAAAAAACTTGACGGACAGAAGATTTAAATGATTAAAAAATTGAGGACCTACTTGTTACAATAGTCATAGATTGAGGAAATTATTGCAATTTTTCCTCCACCAAATTACGGATTCCGTTAACTTTGAATTGATTTATGGATTCCGTTAAAACGTCACCGGCAGAAAATTATTGAAGTGACAGATTTTGGAAGAACTTCAATAGCACAGTATATATAATTATGATTTCGATAGTACGTAAATTCTGTTCTCATCACAGAGTAAATGTTCATGTTTTTGTTTTATCAATACACATAAAATTCATTTGGAGAGAAAAAAAAAATAAATTAAAAATTCATTTATGGTAGATAACATTTTGGCCCGACTTGAAAACAAATCAATTAATATTTTTAATGTGTTTGTGTCCTAAGTTTGGAACATGGTATGGTTCGCATATATGTATGGAGACCTCGTTGATCGAGTAATGCCGATTCAATTGGTAATAGACGGTCCACTTGCTCATTTCATTTTTATTTTTCTCAAAACGTTAATTTTCGTTCATGGTCATTTTTCTTTAACTAAAATTTTTAGTTGGGGCCAATTTTACTCTAATTTTGTGTGAGTTGAGTCTTTATATTTTAATTTTTTATAAATTTACTCACTTCACATTTGTTTTAATGTCAAACTTTGATGTGGCTATAACATACTAATAGCCATAAAAAATGACCTCGAAAAAATGAAAAACTTGTTTATAAATTTGATTTGTAGCACATCTTTCAGTTATTTATTTTATACAATGTGACGTGATTGAACGAAGTGAGAGGTAAAATTAAATTATAGTGACACAATTGACGCAAATTAAATAAAAACAAATCAATAAAAAATTGAACGAGATTTAACACTCTAATTCATTGTCTAATATATCATTTGACAATGAATTAGTATATCTACTATCAAATAGATTGATGCTAAAAATTACGATTGCTAAATGACATTGTCCATAATTTATGTGACATTATTTTATTTTTTGAAGTAGCTTAGTCCTTGGTATTAGGTATAAGTGACTCACTAATTTAGAGGTGACAATAAATCAAATCCAAATAAGCGAAATTTACGATTTTGACGAATGGCTCAATTCACTTACCACCCCCAAACTATTCTCGTTTCAATTATTTTATGTGTACAAAATAATCTTTGACAGAAAAATTCCAGATTACGCCCATATGAGTAAAATATTACAAAAAAAATACACACCCACCCTCTCATTGTGTGTGCTCTGTATAACCTTGTGAAGCCAATTCTCTACGCCAAGTGCAATCCTTCTCGTTTTTACTGTGTAACATAAGTTCCACTTGTAAAAATATTACATGTAATTAAACTAAAGGTCCGTTTGATTACAAAGATGAAATTTGGGTGGAAAGAAAATAAATTTCAAGACATTGAATTATCTAAAAATTGTTTTACTGGGAATTGTCAATTATTGTGTTTGATTAGTATAATTTTTCACGTGAAAAATGTTGAAATAAAAATATTTTTTGGTGTTCATTTTTTTTGTTTTATATGAAAATTGTCAATTAAAGAGATAAAAGTTACTGATATTGAAAATGAAATTTGTTTCTATTGCAAAAAAAAAAAAAAAATACATAG